TTTTCTCCATTAAAAATGTTCTTTATTGTAATTAAAATAAGGACATCTTTTTTATGGGCTCTCTAATTAATCTAATGATCATAACCTTTCAGTTTTTAAGTTCTCTTTTAAGATATTATCCATGTAAAAAATTAGATAAATTTGAAATTGTTTAACCATTTTATCATCCATATTTTCCTCCTTTTAATTTTGTCTAACGAATTGGATTTTTTTGCACATTTTAGATGACTAAGCAACTAATGATTTTACATGAATAATCCTTAAAGGATGACTTGAAACATAGACGGTTCCAATCGTTGAAATACTTTGTCGAATAACCCTAAAAAAGATGCGTGCATTCTTCATACAATAAGTACATCATTAATTAACATAGAAATTCTCTATACATGTACATTGTTATGTTTTCACAACCATCCTAAAATCCTATTTATAGTACATAGGACTTATGTTACTATTCTATCCGAAGTAGGAAACTAAAACATTAAAGAAATAGGTAAAACACTATCCAAAATTAAACAAGAAACCGAACAACTGACTGGTTGGCTAGCTATAACGACCAATCGCTAAACTGCGTCAAATCTGAACTAGTCGGTTAGGTGCTCCAAAACTTGGACCAAGTTGCTACAGGTCACATAAAACACCTCAAACCAAATAGCGAGTCAACCACAACAATTTTTGAACTATCTTGTTTACGCTTGAGACTTTTCAAAGTTTCTAGTAGCCAAACAATTTGTCATCCCACTAATTACTCAGTAAATTAATTCCACATTTGTCCTTAATTGATGTAAGTAATTGCCTCGTACTGTGCTATGTCATAATGAGAGCAAATCTTTAAATGAGGGATGATTAAGCTGAAAGTTTTCTTTCAACCCTGAGCTATCCTCGCGTGAAGCACATCAGTGAAAAGACAATCATGATCATAGGGGTGCACTGCCTCTAGTTCAAACTTGTTTTTGGATATTTGTGATAGTTTTTTTTTTTAGTACAAGCGATTGGGGGAGGGGGTTTACAAAAATATTTATTGGGTGTGTCTGGGGGTTTTGAACTTCGGCCTACATAGATGGTGAAAAAGCTCACCCAACTGAGTTATACCCCACTGACGGATATGTGATAGTTATGCTAAACAATCTGTGCCCTATATGTTTTATTTATAACAAATAAGTTTATAACTAAATATTTGATTCAAAGCCTGGTTAGTTTTGTGATTGTATCAAAATTATATATGGCAGTACTTTCTTTAGTTGATATTGCCGGATTAGTTTCTTTACTCTCTTTTTTTGCCAACTTCTTTAGTTTAATAATATGTAATTAAGTAATATCTTAGCATTTTTTTAATTACTTTAATTAGTAATATCATAGACCTATGCTGGCCAATGTTTGCTAGCGTAGGTCTGTGCTGACAAAATCTTTCGTTGGGAGAGGATTTTTTATTTTATTTGAAATATAAAATTAGTTTCTTTACTCTCTTTTTTTGCCAACTATTTTGTTTAATATCTATATATATAAAGCAAAACGCAGAGAATGGTGAAACATTCAAAATACCATAAAATGTCCTTGGTTAATGCAAACCTTAAGAATTGAAATTACTAATTAAATGAGGATAATATGGTAAATTCACACTTTTTCTTATTTAAAAAAATTAAAATTAAAAGAAAAATTGGATAATGGATCCTATTTTTATGGAAAACAACTACCCATTATCTTTTTAAATTCTAAAATAAAATTTAAATTTTTTTAAAAAAAGCCTCACAAGCGCGAAAGCGCGTGCTGAGAGGCTAGTATGTAATTAAGTAAGATCTTAGCCCTTTTTAATTACTTTAATTAGTAATTATATTTTAATTATTATTATTTAGTTAATATTTAAATATTATAATGATTTCATAAATTACTTAATAATGATTTCATAATATCTTAGCAATATTGTTTAAATATTCGAATATATTTAAGGAAATATGACACTATATAAATCCATATTTTTATTTTTGCTTCAAAAGTATAAAATTAGTTTCTTTACTTTTGTTTTATGGCAACCTTCTTTAATATAATTTATGTAATTAAGTAAAATCTTAGTCTTTTTTAATTACTTTAATTAGTTATTATATTTTAATTATTGTTTCTTTAGTGAATATTTAAATATTTTACTGATTTAATAAATTCCTTAATAATAATTAATACATAATTACTAATTAAAGTGATTTAAAAAGGCTAAGATATTACTTAATCACCTATATTAAATTAAAGAAGTTGGCCAAAAAACAAAAGTAAAGAAACTAATTTTATATTTGTAAAATTTAAATTTTTTATAAATAAAAAAAAAACCTCTCCCAACGAAATTTCGTCGGCAGAGGTAACTTTCATCAGGAGATGTCTGATCTATGCCAACAAAACTTTGGGGTATAGCCGGGCGGCTATACTTTAAAATATTCTTTTTTTGGGGTATAGCCGTTCGGCTCTACTGTTAAGATATTATATTTTCGGAGTATAGCCGCACGGCTGTACTTATAAAATATTCTAAATATTTTATTTTGGAGTACTATACCGTTTATGGAGTATAGCCAGTTAATTTCATAAAAATTACTTAATAAATACTATTTAATTATATTTAATTATCTTAAATAATTTTGTGGAGTTTAAAATTATTTTAAAAATAGTTTCAATTATTTAAAAATTCTAGAAAATTATTTTAGTATTCTAAAAATGGAATTTTAGTCTCCAAACCCTAAATCCAAGTGTCGAACCAAAAACCATAGCTTCTGAACTTGTTCCATAACCATTCACAAGCCTCGAACCCTAAGTGTAAAACTACAGTGGGGCACTTAGGACTCGACTAGGCTTGGATAACCACGTAACTCGACCTGGTGCTTTACGATTTAAGTTTCACTCTCATAAATTAAAGAAGTTGGCCAAAAAAGCAAAAATAAAGAAACTAATTTAATATTTTAAAATTTTAAAACAAAAACAAAAACACCTCTCCAGCCGAAATTTCGTCGGCACATATTTATCCCGGCGAAATTTTCTGTATTAGACCTGTCCTAATGAAATTTCGTCTGGAGAGGTCTAATCCGACATATATTTGCCGGCATATACCTATGCCGACTAAACTTCTTAATTTCTGTAATTAAAAAGAATATTCTAATAGTATGGCCGCGCGGCTATACTCTTTAAAAATATAAAATTAGTTTTTTTACTTTTGTTTTTTGGCAACCGTCTTTAATTTAATTTATGTTATTAAGTAAAATCTCACCGTTTCACTAGTTGTAGGTTTTTTTAAAAAGTATGGGCCATGTATAAGTTTGGCCCTAGCCCAAATGTTTATTAATAAAACCCTTTTAACCTTTTAGTCTAAGTACAATAATAATTTATAAAAATTAATAAATATATTATTTTAATTTTCGTATATGTGTCGTACTGATATCTTAATTTTTGGAGAATTGAATAAATGTACTATCTTTATGCTTTTTAGTGTTATTTTTTCTATAAAAATAATTTCGACACTTTTACACTGTGACCCCTTGAATAAGGGCCTTGGACCGAGAATCTTGGATCCGCCACAATGCAACAGAGATTTCTAGTTCTCTCATCGATGAAAACGTTTATGATTTATAGTGCTAACTCTGAGTCACTTAAATCTTAATTAACCACACGATGCCAGGGATATGCTCGCTTCTTTTACTTCGTAGTTTCTCCCAATATGTCAGTTCTATAGACTATATATGTATGCATTTTTTTCAGTTTTGATAAAATAATTGGTTATGAAATATATGCTAAGGGTCGGTACTAATTACTTAGGATACTTTAATCTTATTTTCATTCAGAAGGTGAGCTATATATTGGGCATCATGTTCTTACACAGTCCTCACATAAATATGACCACTACACAGATATGTTCTTTGTGAAAATGACAGGGTAGTGTACCCACTCCTTTGTACAGAGTTCGAATCGCCCTTCCAAGTAAATGATTACTTATGCATGGGAGAATTCATATAGGACAGAGTGGGCCTGCTCTCTCCTTGTCACAAAACTTTCCTAATTACTTTGATCTAGTTTATCTAGTTATCGATTGATATTATCCTATTTGAAGAAGGCTCTCCCATATCTTTCATTTTCTTGCCTAGAGAGATCAGATGATAACATGAATTTGAGTAAGTGTCAACTAGCATATTTTATTGATTTGTGTGAAGCTAATAAATTAGCTCAACCAGCTCATGGTGGCAAAAGAAAAGCTTTGGGAACATTAAGTACCTCAGAAAATGAAATAGAGTTAAAGAGATGCCGGGCTTGTTCAAAATGATTTTAAATTAATATAGATCACCACATGCATTGATGCACACAGTAGATAATAACTATAGCATTCTGTAGTCATTTCTCAACTGGGGCCTTTTACATTGATCACCACATGCACCCAGCCAGACCCACGAGAAACACTTTTGAGCAACAGAATAACACTGTTTTGCTATCCCGGCCAATGACACATATAATAACTTTTTCACTTGTCATAGCATGATTAGCCAGAATATTATTGTTTTGCTATCCCAACCAATCACATTATGCTACAAGTGATAATTTTTCCTCTTGACATAGCGTGATTGACCGAAAATAGCAAAACAATACTATCTCTCTGTTTAATATAAGTTTTTCGTCTGCATCATCCTACTTATATATAAAGCATTTAATTAGTACACTTCTTGGTTGAGTTGGGGTTGGCCATAATATTTTATTTCTTCAATCAATGGTAATTTTGCTTCTTCTGTATTAGACTGGTGCAGTACTAAATTATGCATGTGAAAACAATCACAATTGACACTATCATTGAGACGACGTTGTGTTGGATAATTATTATAGAAAAACATTTTAGTATGGAACTCTTAAATTAATTTAGATTAGTCAAACAAAAGTTTAATTATAATTTAAAATGATGGATTTCTTATCCTATATTTATAAGCATGAAGAAGCAGTAGCATAGTCACATTGAAAAGCTTCATGGTTATGCTTTTTGGGACTAAGAAATTGAAGGAAATTAATTATAATAAGATGAAAGAATAATACTGATTACTAAAGCTGCAAATTAATAGTACCCCTCCTATTAACACATTACGTACATTCATGATAGGAACATACGAAGCAAATAATATATAGCTAGAAATTAATTCATTTCTCTAAATTAAGTTGCAGCGGAAAACTAATGTTCATATCATGATTGCACTTGAATTAGTGGCCACCGCCAGCTCCGATTCCAGCTCCACCGCCAAAGCCAGCCCCACCACCAGCACCAAAACCACCTCCTCCACCAAATCCACCTCCTCCACCACCGCCTAATCCACTGCTAACACCTCCACCAGCTCCAAAGCCTCCTCCAGCGCCACTGCCTACCCCACCACCACCCCCAAACCCACCTCCACCGCCAGCACCTCCTCCAAGACCTCCGCCCCCACCAACACCACCACCTGCACCTCCACCAAAGCCTCCACCTGCACCACCACCCACTCCACCACCAAGACCGCCACCTCCTCCAGCACCTCCACCAAGACCACCACCTCCACCGGCTCCACCGCCAGCACCAAACCCACCACCTGCTCCACCACCGCCACCAAGTCCACCACCTGCTCCACCACCCCCACCAAGTCCACCACCACCACCTAAACCGCCACCACCACCAGCTCCTCCTCCTAAACCTCCACCAGCTCCTCCACCTAAACCACCTCCAGCTCCTCCTCCTAAGCCACCCCCAGCACCACCACCACCTCCTGCACCTCCACCTAGACCACCACCACCTCCTAACCCACCTCCTGCACCCCCACCAAGGCCACCACCACCTCCTAACCCACCTCCTGCACCCCCACCTAGACCACCACCACCTCCTAACCCACCTCCTGCACCCCCACCAAGGCCACCACCACCTCCTAACCCACCTCCTGCACCCCCACCTAGACCACCACCACCTCCTAACCCACCTCCTGCACCCCCACCAAGGCCACCACCACCTCCTAACCCACCTCCTGCACCCCCACCTAGACCACCACCACCTCCTAACCCACCTCCTGCACCCCCACCAAGGCCACCACCACCTCCTAACCCACCTCCTGCACCCCCACCTAGACCACCACCACCTCCTAACCCACCTCCTGCACCCCCACCAAGGCCACCACCACCTCCTAACCCACCTCCTGCACCCCCACCTAGACCACCACCACCTCCTAACCCACCTCCTGCACCCCCACCAAGGCCACCACCACCTCCTAACCCACCTCCTGCACCCCCACCTAGACCACCACCACCTCCTAACCCACCACCTGCACCTCCGCCACCTCCAAGCCCACCACCACCTCCTAGACCTCCACCTCCGCCAAGACCACCCCCACCGCCAATGCCTCCACCAACTCCACCTCTACCAAACCTTCCATGCCTAAACCCCTTCCTGTAAATCCCATGCCCAAGACCTCCTCCCTTAAAAAGAGGTGGGTGGGGATGTGGAAATAAGTGCTTATCATCCTTAACCACCTTAGCATCATCATCCGCCACAGCCAAACCACTCACAAGAAAAACACATAAGATAGCAACCACAACACAACCAGCTGATAAAATGACCCTCATATTTGATAATTTGCTTAGCCCAAAATGAAGCTACTTGATCAAAATGAAGCTCTCTCTTACACTCGTAGTGCACAAGTAAAACGAAAGCATGCTGTGTTGTGTTATATAGTGAAAGAAGAGAAGTGAAGGTTAATAGGCTAAGAGAGAGGTCGGTCGATATGTAGTCACCCAACTGTCACGCTTGGATGGAGTAATGAGGCTCACCTGTCTTTGGGCAAGTAATTTATTTGGCCAACTGTCCTCTACCTCCATGTCCAACTCCAACACGCTCAGTCAGACGTGAAATGAAAACCCACTCTCTTCTCTTTCCCTCTGAATTTTATTAGGGTTTTGACTCTCATGCCTTTGTTTTTCTTTTCTGCTCTGACAATAATATTATATTGATGAGAGAGTCAAATTAACCAAAACCAACAAGTTGAAAAAGCCGTGGTCTTGGTCTTGATCTGGATCTGGGGAGATTCAATTTCTTTTCTTCTTAGGTGGTAGCACCTAGTCTAGTGTGTGATTCAATTCAAAGGGGTTTTGTGGTGCCATTAATGGACCAACCAAACAATGTCCCGCCATCATTATACCTTCATACTCTCTCTCTCTCTCTCTCTCTCTCTCTCTCTCACGCGCGCGACACAAACATACATCTTCATACCTGATCCTCTGTCTCTCTCATATATCATTTTTAAAAACAAATTTGTGATAGTTATGAAATTGATCGCATCAAATAATTCAGTAAATTTCTAATCAGTTTGACGAGTTTATATATCAACAATTATATATACATATATAACTAGTACAATAGTTTCTTCTTTGTTTATGAATAAAGTAGGAAGTCATTTTGATATATGCTTCATGCGTGCACAGAGACCTTTTTGTTGCATGTTTCATGAGTTGGTGATCAGATGCAACATAGAATATGAAGTTGATGGTAGGTACGTAACAACATACCTTTTAAGTCCAATATTATTTGTAAATACTGTACTGAAGTAGTCTTTCAATGTTCATGTTAACAGTTTATCTTAATTTTATACAGAGAAGGATGACGCTTGTAGAACTGTTAGAAAATTGCATTTTAGTTTATGCTTGAAACTTGAATATAATAGTGCGTACTCATATCCATATAGAGAACCATTTAGAGAAGAATGTGCATGTACTCATCCATAGGCTAGTAATAACTAGTATTAACACACACGCATCAAGAAACTAGTATTAACAAAGGAATAAGCATGTACGTCTATCGAGATGAGGTGAATGACCTTTTCCGTTCAACTAAAACTAGTGAAGACATTTCTCGTAGGGATCCCAGCTCAGCCTTGTAAAATTCTTTGAATTTCCCTTATTCTGCGAAATGATTATCCACAAAGTTTGGGTGCACCTTGTCCTTCAAGTAATCAATCTTCTGCATGATGTGTGTTTTTTTCCTCATTCAAGCGATATTGGGGGATTACGCATGATGTATATTATGTTTTGCTTATGTCTTATTAAAACTCAAATCGATTTCTACGTTTTTATGTACTTTTGAACTTATAGTATTAGTTGTTTATTTATTCCAATATAATGTTTTTATCTATATAAATTCAGCTATAACAAAAAGCATAATATTAAAGATGATTAAAACTATTTAAACAATAAGATGAAAATTCATTTAAAAAGTTAATAGATGTTTTTTTTTGGTCACCAACTCTTTGGATTTTCATGGCAAAATGGGGCACCTTGACACATATTAAGCAACCAATGTTTCTACTAGGCGATTGAATCGCAAAATCAACCAAACCAAACTAATTGGCTTGATTTGGTTTGGTTTATTTATTTAAAATTTCACTTGCAAATCGACGTCCAATTTGGTTCATAGTTTCAAAATTCTAGAATGGGTGAATTCACGTCCGTCCATATATAAATTCAGCTATAACAAAAAGCATAATATTAAAGATGATTAAAACTATTTAAACAATAAGATGAAAATTCATTTAAAAAGTTAATAGATGTTTTTTTTGGGTCACCAACTCTTTGGATTTTCATGGCAAAATGGGGCACCTTGACACATATTAAGCAACCAATGTTTCTACTTGGCAATTGAATCGCAAAATCGACCAAACCAAACTAATTGGCTTGATTTGGTTTGGTTTATTTTTTTTAAATTTCACTTGCAAATCCACGTCCGATTTGGTTCATAGTTTCAAAATTCCAGAATGGGTGAATTGGCGTCCGTCCGACTTGAATTGAACCGATCAACATAAATGCATAATATTCTAAAATTGGTGCCAAGGGGAGTCTCAAACTCTTAACCTCAAACTTGTGATTTCAACACCACACAACTAGAGTAACAAGCCTTGTTGTGATACAGTTGGGCGATTAATTGACGAAGGCTTTTCATCCCAACAAAATTTAATAAAAAATATCATTCTCATCCCACGCCTCCCTATTCTTCTTCTTTATAAGAGCATCTCCAATAGCAGTAGGCCACTCATGTGAGCCCAAATATCCCTCAAAGCGCAACAAGTTCTTTCCCAAACTTTCTTTACTTCTGAAAGGCCCATTCTCTTAGCGCCCATGGACAAAGATATTTATCCTTGATCCAGATGGAGATACGAAGTCATTCCATTCCGGAATAATTAGGGAAAGGGGTACAATTCCTATTTATATTCTAGCATTTTAGGTAGACAAGAAATCAAAAGTCGTTTATGTCCGATCCATCCAACATGTGTCACTGCCATTTCCAGCTCCCAAACGGCTTTGATTGGGTCGCTTTCGTTTCCTAACTCTTTACTTTACCTGACCACCTTGTGATACGTCAAAATAAAAACAAGAGAAAAGAAAAAGCTAGAATTATACACAACTGTACCGTACAGAGCCCAAAATCAAAGCGGCCCAGGTTCGGGCTCCAAGTCTGAGGTTTGGAGAAAGCTAAAGAAGCTCGCTTCATTGACTTCACTGACACCAAAAAAACCAAAAAAAAAAACAGAGAGAAAAGGAGCTCATCAGCTTCGGTTAAAGTTCAAATTGTTCTGATTTACAGCGTAAAACTTCCAAGTGTTGGAAGGAACTCCGTGTGCTTCGTGATCACAAACAATTGACAAAGCCTAACTTGTCGTGTCACGTCTTCTTGCTTAAATTCTCAAATCCCAATTACACAAGAGTTTTTAAATTCCCTCAATTTTCGTGTGCTATTACAAAACTGTGTGCTTGCTCGTGGAGTCAGCAGCGCATGCTTGATCAACGACGATCGTCCTTCTCTCATAGCCTCTGATCCAACAATTTCTTCTTCTCAGGTTGGTCCTGTCACTGCAATGCAGTTACAATTCAACAATCTCGCCAATTATTTTTTATTTTTTGAAACCAGAAGTTAATTTTTCTTTTTTAAATTGCGATTATGTTCTTGGTAATGCAAATTTTGGATTTTGATTGCAAAGCTGAATTGGGTTTTCTTTGTTTTTGGCAGTTTGCCTTGTATAATTTGACCCACACAATGGCGCAGAGTAATTGGGAAGCAGATAAGATGTACATACTGTGATTTATTTATTAGTGCACTGTTACATGCTTTGATTATGTATTATGTATTTGTTAGTGGGTTTTTGCTAAATTTGGTTAATTTTCTTTGTCTGTAGGCTTGATGTGTACATTTATGATTATTTAGTGAAGAAAGAATTGCATGCCACTGCTAAGTCTTTCATGAATGAAGGGAA